CTCGAAGCTCTGAGCTCGCCCGGGATGAGCAAACTATAAAAGCCTATCATGGCATATAAAATTTTTTGAACAGGCAAAAATGGCTTTATCTATGTTTGAGCAAGATAAGAGAGAGTCTTGTGTTTTTAAAATCTCTGAAAACATCATTTTGCCTTCTCCTTCGGAGCCAAAGACACACCCCCTGGTGGATTTTGTGTCAGGCCAATCAGAACAGAGAGCTGTGCACACGTCACATTTGCCTCGTGATCTGGTGTCTTCTCAAATTACATATCATGCCACGAAATCAGAAAGATTACCTGAACTGCCTAAAACTAAAGTTGCAGCACCATTTGCTGGCGAAAGTAATTCACTAAAGAAAGCTGAAATGCACCACATCTTGAGAGAGCAATTACAATTGTTGCAGAAGACTTTATCAGAGATGTCCTTAACTCATTCTGATATTCAGGCTGCAATGCCACAAGTGTCTCCACAGGCTCAATCTTCAGCACCCCCTGGTGGTGCTGATGTCCTTTTAGATGGAACACAACAACGCTTCATGCAGCAAAGGCAAATGACTGTGTCCCCAGCAGATCATGTTAATATTGCAGCTCAAACTCGTGGACAATCGTTGGGGACAATCCTGGGTGGCATGTCCCACACGATTACAGATGTAGCATCTTGGCATCCTTGGAGCGTAGGTCCTTCCTCGGAAGCGGCGCCTAGCTGGAGCCTTTGATGCGGGTGGTCCTCTCAAGTGTGGCGTGGCCAACATGAATGCCTCTTCTTCAAGCCTGAGGTTCCTTATAAAACTGTTAATGTTGAGAATTCACTAACTGGTAAATCTTTGCATTCCCGGTGTATCCATAAATGGCATAGAAGATTGGGGTATGTTTCCGTGTTCTTAGGAAGATGCTGGAGTTCGCAAAAGGTTTGGATCTAAAGGGGTGTAAGGTGTTTTTGGATTGTGCTGTATGCAAAAAGGCCAAATCCAAAGCAGCAGCCATTCCCAAATGCGCTACACGCCTGTCAACACGCATTTTTGATTTGGTTCACACTGACATAGTTGGTCCTTTTCCACCAACCCTTGGTGGTAGAAAATATTTTCTAACAATTGTTGATAATTACTCTAGATATGGATATGTATATCCTATGAAAGAAAAATCTGAGACCTTTCAGATTTTTAAAGATTTTGCTGCTCTTGTTTCTACCCAACACCAAGTTCGCATCGCCAGAATCCAGAGTGATCGTGATGCTGAATTCATGTCTCAGCGTTTCCAGGACTGGATGCGTAAGAATGGAATTCTTCATCAGACGTCGGCTCCTTACACACCGGCTCATAACTGGGTCGTAGAGAGACGACAAGGGGTCCTGCAAACCATGATGCATTGTCTCCTAGAAGACGCCAACCTTAGCAATCCATACTGGGGTGAAGCTATCAAATATGCAAATTACATTGTAAACCGTACTTGGAGCAGTGTAATAAATCAGACTCCTTTCTTCATGTTGTATGGGTACAAGCCCGATCTCAAAAACATCCATATTTTTGGTTCATATGCTATGGTGAACATTCCCTTAGCTCAAAGCAGAAAAGGAGGTCCAGCAGCAAAGAGACTGAGATTTATGGGTATAGATGATAGCTCAAAATGGAGCAAATTTATTGATTCTAAACATGTAATTGTGATTTCCCAATCTGCTAATTTTGAGGAAGATGTTGACTGGTCCAGGATACATTCCAATGATCCTGGAGTTTATTTTCCCAGAGATGATACTGCTGATGCTGCGCAGATTGATGTTCAAGATTCCACTGGTTCTTCTCAACCTGATGTTCCATCTTCGCAAGCCGTGGATGCTGACGCTAGCGACGAATGTGAGGACGAGGACAAAGCAGAAGAAGAATGGACAGTTGTTCCAAGACGTTCCAAGAGGGCCACAAAAGGAATCCCTCCACAATGATATTCTTGGCAACTGACAAAAGCACCCTTGCCTTTGATTTGCAATGTTACACTTCCACCTGATAATTTCACGCAAATCAAACATCTCCCTGATTCAGAGCAAGACAAGTGGTATGAGGCAATGCAGGTTGAAATGGACAGTCTAAAGAAACTTAAAAGTGTTTACACCTGCAAAACCTCCAGCAAACAAAAGGGTCATTGGTACTCGATGGGTCTACAGAATCAAAATGAAGCCAAATGGTGAGTCATTGTACAAGGCCAGACTTGTAGCTCAGGGTTTCGCTCAATGTTATCCTGAGGACTACACAAATACCTACTCACTGACAGTCCGAACTGAGAGTGTAAAAATTGCTTTAGCAACTGCAACTATCCTTGGTTTAGAAGTTTTCCAGTTCAATGTTGACACAGCTTATTTACATGCAGACCTAGATGAAGAGATCTATGTGAGAGGCCCTCCAGGGTTCCGACAGCAAGAAGGGGATACCTGGTTTCTAAACAAAAGTCTTTATGGTCTGAAACAGTCTGGTTTAATGTGGTACTTATGTTTTACTGACAAACTAAATTCAATGGGCTTTATTAAGTCCGAAACTGATGAGTGCGTGTTCACAAAAAGATCTAACAATGCATATGAGATAGTTCTTGTTTATGTTGATGATATTGTTTATATTGGATCAAATAAGCAAATGAGTGAAATTTTCGCCAAAGCTTTGCAGAGATACTTCACATTGAAATCATTGGGTCATATTAGCACTTATTTAGGTGTTCTGATTGAAAAAACACAGAAAGGGTTTAGTCTTTCACAAGAAGATAAAATTGAACAAATTTTGCATCATTGCAACATGAAAGATGCTAACACAGCAAAGACACCCATACAAACAGATTTTCACAACTTAACACATGAAGCAAGTCCTGAGTTCGAGGATCAAACACTTTTTTTTCAAATTCTTTATCCATTAAACCTAAAAGAAAAATCTCTGGTTTTATCTTTATAGTCACCTTAACAATCTTCTGTATTAAGAGTGAATCCTACTGCAATAATTCTTTGCTTTGTCACATGTCTACCATAAATGATAAAAGTTTTATTCTTTACATTTACATTTCCAATATTCATTTCAAATGCCTTATACATTCTTGACAATTTGTCCGGTGTTAGATATCAATGGTACATCATCTTATAAAAGTTTTCTTTTAAATTTTAATTTTCTGTGAATTTTAAATCTTTTATCCATCTATTCTCCCATTGTTCAAGCATTATATTATATCCAAAGTTCTTTGCCCACTGAATCATACAATGCTTTACATACTCATTCTCCAAATTCAATTTCAATAACAATTTATAAACCTTAGCAATAATATGTTTATCACTACCACACAGTAAGATTTCCAATTCACAAAATCAAATAGCTCTTTTTGTCTTTTTTTCTAGTTTAAATCTTTCTTTTGGAAGTTGGAAATCAATGCTTTTCTTTTTCTTTTCCCCTTCTCCTGTTTTTTTCTTTCCCTTTTCCTCCCTTATTTTCCCATTATCTTTATTTTTTCTTTGTATTTCTGTATTTTATCTTTTGATAAACTAATAAAAAATATTTAAACTCATTGCCTTCCTTGCAGTTTGGGTCCTTGGGGGTGGGGGTGGGGGTGGGAGGCAAATGTCAGTGAACCTGTTACAGAGAACCTGCAGGGAACAGTATATAAATGTCTTGATTTGATGAAATCAGTTTGTGTCAGATATTGAATCAACCAAATTGTTGAGTTTACTATTGCTTTGCATTAATTGACAATGTGACTGGACAAAGATTTGGTAATGTTATTCTAGTGCAGGGGTCTGCAACCTTAAACATTCAAAGAGCCATTTGGACCCGTTTCCCACAGAAAAGAAAACACCTGGAGCCAATAATTTAACAACTGGTGTAACTGGATAGGCATGGCCAACTCGACATCACTCATTCCCACCCAGTCACATGACCCCCAGCCATGCCTACCCAGCCAGTCATTAGGGCAGAGAACCGGTTGTTAAATTATTTGCCCTGCCTGGCCCCGCCTCACCCCTCCCCTTGCATTCGGGGTGGAGAGTAGGTTGCACATCTCCTCAAGCACCCAAGGTGTGTGCAGCGCCAAGGGCCAAAAGAAGCGCCCACGAGACCCAGCAAGAGATGAGGCACCAGAGAATCAGCTCTGGCCGCTTCTTTCCTCCGCAGTGCTTCCCAGACGCAGCTTACAGCTCTGAGCCTGAAACGTCAGGAGGTGAGAGCTGCCTTGAGTGCAAATGTACCACGACAAAGGTGGAATGCTGTTGCCGTGCAAAGGCAAGTACCGGCCACTTCTCTCCCGCTCTGGAATATGGAGCAAGTCTCCATCCCTCACTGTTGCCCTTACCTTCTCAGGCCAGGTGAAGAGTGACTGGGAGGGCAGGGGAGGGGCCAGCCAGTGGTGGGATCAGCTGAGAGGGAGCTGCAGCAGAGGGCTGAAAGAGCTGCATGCGGCTCCAGAGCCGCAGGTTGCCAACCCCTGTTCTAGCAGTTCATAACGGAGCAGGATAAGGAAACATAGGTGGTTTTCCAGGGAGCCATAATCACTGTTAACAAATACCAAACATAATCTGAAAACATTGGTAGAAGTAGTCCTCAACTTATGACCACAATTGAGCCCAAAATTTCCATTGCTAAGCAAGAAGTTAAGTAAGTTTTGCCCCATCTTATGACTTTTCTTGCCACAGTTGTTAAGTGAATCACTGTAGTTGTTAAGTTAGTAACATAGTTGTTAAGTGAATCTGGTTTCTCCATTGACTTGGTTGTCAGAAAGTCGCAAAAGAAGATCACATGACCCTGAGACATTGCAACCGTCATGAACACATGCCTTTGCCAAGCATCCAAATTTTGATCATATGACCTTGGGGATGCTGCAATGGTCTTAAGTGTAAAAAATGGTTATAAGTCACTTTTTTCAGTGCCATTCTAACTCTGAATAGTCATTAAACAAATGGTTGTAAGTCAAGGATTGTCTGTATAACTGTTTCCCATTTATAAAATGAATATCATTTATAAATGTAATGGTTTTTCTTTCACTTTCTAGGATGGCAGCCTGTAAAATGAACCATATATCCATGGAGAAAATATGGGAATGCTTACTAAAATTAAAGATTTCTCTTGGTCTCCTGTTCCTTCATTTGATTTTGGCTTCTGGCAGAGGTAAGGTTTTTCTTTCTCTGCTCTTCTAATCATTGTTCCTTTAAATGTGTGATTGGAGGATGTGGATAAGCTAGATAACATAGCAGATGGAAAGAAGTGGGTGCTGAGATAGGAACTATACAGATAGGATAATAAGTATATTTGTGTATATTTTATAATACATCTAAAAGTCTAATACTCGTTTATACTTATTTTCATCAATTCTATGAAATAAGTCAGTCAGTATTGGATTTTGTTCAAGATCATGGTTCAGATTATGAGCTTCATGGTTCATGTTATGAGGAAAACAGCCAAATTTATCTTAGATTTTAAAACTCACTTTAATTAAAATATGTGTTTGAAGACATGGAATTTTGTGATTTCCAATTCATGGTAATCAGCATTTATAGAATTGAGAGATTTTCTGAAGTTATTCTTAAAGGAATACAAGTGAGTCCACTTAGTAGACAGGCATATAACTGATCTTTTATTCACTAGTAGCTGAATCATTTGATCCTTTCCATATTTTTTATATTCATAAAATTAAAATAAATCCACCAAAAATAACAGCAGGGGAATATTATATGCAACAACAAAATAATACATTTATCAACACCTAAGGGTCATATAAAAATCAATAACATCCAGAAACACACTTACTTAGAACAGTGCCTGTTCATGAAAGGGGGAAAAAATTAGCTAGAATTTAGATTAGACCCCATCCAAGGATCAATGAGTCCAATTCTATCTCGGCTGGTTCTAAGGTAGCTTTGCAATCCCAGTAAGCAGATATCTGAGGAGAAATAGTGATCTACTCCAGTATCAAGGTAAAGGATTAGACAGGCTGATTAGCATGTCTATTGGATATGTTTCAATAGGGAGTTAGCACCTAGTTTGCCTTGCCTGAATTCCCCCAACCCAGCTAAATTAGACTTGGACTCATTGATTCTTGGGTGGGAGTCGGCCATCCAAGTTGATATTCCAGAGCAATAGGTCAGTCTGGAAGAGAAAAAAGCCCCAGAAGAAGGTAGCGTCAAAGTAATTGTGTTGTTGGGAAAACTGAATGGATAGACCTATGAAGTCATCAGAAATGAGAGTTGAGTTGAGGGAATCTTTACATCTAGACCAGTGGTTCTCAACCTGTGGGTCGCGATCCCTTTGGGGGTCGAATGACCCTTTCACAGGGGCCGCCTAAGACCATTGGAAAATATATGTTTTTGATGGTTTTAGGAATAATTTTATGGTTGGGGGGTCACCACAACATGAGGAACTGTATTAAAGGGTCGTGACATTAGGAAGGTTGAGAACCATTGATCTAGACTCAGACACAAGTTTATGTAAGTTCCATTACATGCAATGTTTGTTTTCAAATGATTCTGGAAACCATCTCCCAAATCCATATACATATAAATGGCACAATTTACAGGTAGTCCTCAGCTTATGACCACAATTGAGTCCAACGTTTGTGTTGCTAAGCAAGACAGTTGTTAAGTGAATTTTGCCCCATTTTATGGCTTTTTTGCCACAATTGCTAAGTGAATCTCTGCAGTTGTTAAGTTAGTAACACAGTTGTTAAGTGAATCTAGCTTTCCCATTGACTTTGGTTGTCAGCAGATCGCAAAAGGTTATCACATGACCCTGGGATACTGCAATTGTCATAAATATGAACTAATGGCCAAGCATCCAAATTTTGACCCCCTGACCATGGGGATGCTGCAATGGTTTTAAGTGTGAAAAACAGTCATAAGTCACTTTTTTCAGTGCTGTTACAACTTTGAACGGCTACTAAATGAACTGTTTTAAGTCGAGGACTACTTGTATATAAGTAAAATTCTACTTAAACATTTCCTGAAGTTTTCCATTTCTTGTGGATGAGAAAACCCAGGAAATGCAGGATGTTTTTGTAATTTTACTTCACAAAACTATTAGAACATTATGGAAATGTTCTACAGAAAAGGAGATGGTTTAGAATTAAAGCCTGCTCAAAAGGATTTGAACAAAATGCTTACAAGTAGGTATCTCTATTCAAAGTTGTGACATCTCAATGGGGTACATGTTTAAGAAAACTTATTTAGGACAGGAGTAAACTTCCAAAATTCTAATGGTTTCATAAAATAAGGCAAGTGGGTTGAAGCTGGATCCTTTTTGTTGATGGAAATCTTTCCTTATGTTTGTGGTAACAATAGAAAAATATATTTTCCAATCTGAAGCAGTGATGAAATACAATTTTTTTTGCTACCGGTTCTGTGGGCGTGGCTTGGTAGCTGTGGCTTGGGAGGGAGGTTCATGTGCCTGGGTTCAAGAGCCTTAATAGTACAGTGGTCTACGCACCCTGTTATTAACACAGCTGCCTGCAATTTACTGCTGGTTCGAATTTCTCCAAGGCTCAAGGTTGACTCAGCCTTCCATCCTTTCTAAGGTAGGTGAAATGAGGACCCAGTTTGTGGCGGCAATAAGCTGACTTTGTATAAATATACAAAAGTATGAAGGCTATTGCTTAACGCATTGTAAGCCGCCCTGAGTCTCCGGAGAAGGGCGGCATATAAATCAAATTAAAAAAAAAACAAACAACATTTTTTTACTACTGGTTTGGGCGAATAGGTAGTAAAAAATGCTTTAAAAAAGTAAAAAAAAAAAAGGTAAATAAAAGGTTTCGACGATCGCACGGCACAGCTGATTGATAATCAATTGACAATCAGCTGTGCCACGCGATTGTCGGAACCTTTTTTGTTTACTTTTTTAAAGCATTTTTTTACTACCGGTTCGGGTGAATAGGTAGTAAAAAAATGCTTTAAAAAAGTTTTAAAAAGCTTCCAATGATCGCGAGGCACAACTGTGATTGTTGGAACCTTTTTTAACTTCTTAAAGCATTTTTTACTACTGGTTCGCCCAAACTGGTAGTTTTTATCACTACCAATTCACCCGAACCAGCGTGAACTGGTAGCATTTCACCCCTCTCTCTGTATCTCTCTATGTCTCTCTCTCTCCCACCTCCCCCTCTCTCTCCCCCTCTCTGTATCTCTCTTCCTCTCTCCCCCTCTCTGTATCTCTCTGTGTCTCTCTCCCCCTCTCTCCCCCCTCTCCTGTCTCTCTCTGTATCTCTCTCCCACTCTCTATCTGCCCCCTTTCTCTCCCCCCTCTCTCTGTATCTCTCTCCCCCTCTCCCCCTCTCTGTATCTATGTCTCTCATCCCCATCTCTGTCTGTATCTCTCACTCTGTATCTCACTCCCCCTCTGTATCTCTCTATGTCTCTCCCCCTCTTCCCCTTCTCTCTGTATCTTTCTCCATCTCTCTCCATCTCTCTGTGTCTCTCTTTCTATGTCTCTCTCCCTCCTTTCTCTGTATCTCTGTCTCTCTCTCCCCCTTTCTCTGTATCTCTCTTTGTATTTATCTCCCCCTTTCCCCCCTCTATCTTCCCCCTCTTCCCCCTCTCTCTGTCTCTCTCTCCCTTCTCCCTCTCTCTCCCCTCTCTCCCCCTCTCCCTGTATCTCTCTCTCTGTATCTCTCTCCCCCTCTCTCTGTATCTCTCTGTTTGTGTCTCTCTCCCCCCTCTCCCCGTCTGTATCTCTCTCTCTCCCCCTTTCCCTCTCTCCCCCTCTCCTCCTCTCTCTCTGTATCTCTCTCCCCCTCTCCCCCCTCTGTATCTTTCTCTCTAAGTCTCTCTCTCTCCATCTCTCTCCCATTCTCTCTGTATTTCTCTGTGTGTGTGTGTCTGTGTGCCTATCTCTCTCTCTCTGTGTGTGTGTGTATCTCTGTCTCTGTCTCTGTGTCTCTTCTCACTCTCTCAGAAAGCCCAGCGAGCTCTCCTTGGGGCTCTTCGTTACACCTTTTCTTTTTTCTTTTTGGAAATCTGTGCCTTTGCCTTTGGCCAAAGCCTGTCCACTCGCTTGAGGAGGGTCTCCCCGCTCGTGCGCACACTCCCAGCCCTGCCACAGCCAGCCAGGGGGTTGTGAGAGGAGAAGGAGGAGGAGGGTCACCCAAAAGGAAACCTCTGCTGCAGTTTACGCTCGTTCTTCAGCCAGCCCAGATTTCCAAAAAGAAGAAAGAAAAGGAGTGGCAAAAAGGTCCAAGGAGAATTTGCCAGCTTAGCCCAGCCTCGGCTTTCCTGACCCCCGGGATGGGTGTGCGAGGTTCGGCAGGGCCAGCCCCCTTTTCTCACTGTCCTGAGCTTGGGCACTGCGGACCCATCTCCCTTTCCATTGTTCCCTCTCCCTAGGTCCTATTCCCACCCCACCAGCCCTCTTGTTAGTGAGGCCAGTGTTAGTTGCAGCAAGGTTGGGCCAGTGTCTCGGGGCAGAGAGCAAGTTACTTATCTCCCCAAGCGACCGGGGCATGCCCAGCACCAAGAAGGGCCGGAAGAAGCTCCAGCAAGTGTGAGGTGCCAGAGAATCAGCCCCGGATGCTTCTCCATCCCCTGCCATCACCCTTCTCAGGCCAGGTGAGGAGTGACGGGGAGGGGAGGGGCCAGCCAGTTATGGGACAGGGAGCTGCAGCAGAGGGCCCAAAGAGCCACAAGCAGCTACGGAGCTGTGGGTTGCCAACACCCATGTTAGGTACTGTCACTGATAATACAAACATAAGCTTACAAGAACTTAAATAAGCAGTTCCTAGGAAAATGCTACCCATCAAATCACAAAGAGTTGGAAGTGACTAAATGACTGAACAACAATGAGTGCCTAGGCGGCCAAAATCCAGATACTTAGTAGATAGAAATAAAGATTCTAACTCTTGACTGCCATGTAGTCTCCCTAATCTCTGTAGCCCAGATATAACTACCTTGTCCACAAAGCAACTTTGTGGCAAGATGTGGTAATATGATATATTTTTCTGCACTTTTTAAAACAAAAGACATTTTAAAAATATGATAGATCTCAGAGTTAATAATAATGAGAAAAATTGTGAGGTTCTAAAATCTGGCATGCTTCATAATTTGCTCCATCCCTGCAGTTTTTGATCTGTAGCAATTAAGTGATGGTCTACCAGATGTTAGGCAATTCCCTATGTTCTCCCTAATTTGTTT